GTATCCTTTTAAGACAGGGTCTGTCACTGCAAGCCAGGCAAACCCAGGGATCCTCCTGCCTCCACCTCCTCCATGCTGGGATTATACACCTACACTGCCATGCCCTGGCTTGTGTGTGGGTGCTGGGAATTTAGCTCAGATCCTCACGCTTACCCAGCAAGCACTTTGCCCCTGAGCCATCTCTCCAACCCGTGCTGGGGGTGAGGAGATGCAGCCCAGCAGGAGCAGAAACCTGAGCAGAGACTCCGTTCAGGCCTCTCCAAGGGCTCTGGGCGCTGAGCCAAGGCCACCTGCTTCACACTCAGCCCAATTGTGAGCAGGCAGGCATTGCTTTTAGTCACGCCTGGGGAGTGCAATAAAACCCACTTTTTTTTTTTTTTCTGATAAAGCCATGATTCAGATATGTACACCATCAGGAGACTGCACCACGGGACAGATTCATCTGCCTCCCCTCTTAGATTCTTTCTCCCAGCTTCCAGGCAATGAAATCTACTCTCTGCTCCCATCATGTCCCCACAAACACATCTGTCACCCTAAGATCTATCATACTCGAGAATCCAAAAGACTCTGGTCTCACTATACAAAACAAGCAGAGCTTCTCCATGGGACAATGTTCCAGGACCCCTCTGCTCACAGGGCATCGCCCCCAAGTAGAACAAAATTTCTTATATGTGTACCTACCTGTGACAAAGCTTGATTTATAGGTTAGGCATGGCCAGTGATGAACAGCAGCAAACACTCTAAAATAAGGCAGTTATAACAGAATCTTGTCCTCGCACCTTTGAGAGGTTCTGCTGGCCACTGGCTCCTGGCCGCTGGCTGCTGGCCGCTGGCTCCTGGAATGGGCTCATGGTTAAGTATGGCCTCTGTCTTCCACTGCACCACTGGCTCCCTGAGGAGCTTTCATGGATTTGGCAAACTCTGCTGCTATTCCAGATAGAGCACTGGGGAGCCCAGGGGTCCTACCTGAAGCCTACCCAGCTGAGACCAGCAGGGACCCAGAGTGACTGTGACACTGCCCATGGAGACACACATTCAAACACAGGATCAGGGCCAGCCCTCAGACAGCACAGACACAGCGACCAGATGTTAAGCTGAGCGCAGGGCTCAGGGTCTGTGATGTAATGGCTCTGCAGCTCTGGGCCCACCCAGGGGCAGGAGGCCCAGTGGACTGCCTGGGTGCTCTCCCACCCACCCTCCCGTCGCACTAAGGCTTGACAAAGACAAAGGGCACAACAAGATCTGAGAGTCCAGGTGAAATAGCCAATTTATGACCGACCTCGTCCCTGTTAGAATGTGCAGGAGCTGGCAGCATCCCCGGGAGGCACCAGACAAGGGTTTCGGAAGCCTCAGAGGGAAGGCGAGGAGTCGGGAAAGCCCCTCTGGATGCAGGGCAGGGGAGGGGTGGAACGTAGGGAAAGGAGGGTAAGCCTTCTCTACTTATCAGGGACAGCCTCTGATATTAAACACTAAGTAAAGCAAGTCCCGATGGAAATGCACATTCATCAGGCCAAATTCATATACTTCCTACCCTTCCTACTTTGTTTTGTTTTGACTTCATGAAAACAGGAACCACAAACGTCAGTCATGATCTGTTCTTGGTGAAAATGACAACATGCATTCATGCATTAGCATGTTTATATTTGTAAATGATATACAGTAATCTAGAGGCTCCAGAGATACAATGAAATATATGACGTATAATCTGTGGTCTGTGTAACAACATTTGTTAGGTCAGAAATATAGTGCGTATATATATAAATAAAATAACGGCCTTATTCTAGAATAAGTTAGGATAATGGGGCCACCTAAGCCAGGATTAAAAAGAAACCTAATGTGCCAAGCTTTTCTCTTTGTTCTACATTTTAAGCTTCAGAAAGCGATCTAGTGCTTTGCTATCATACTTGAGCGTTATATTACATTTTAAGGACCCTGTGAGGGTGTACGGAAGCCCTCCCGGTTCTGTTGGTTCCTAAGCTCCATCTGGTGGACCCCTGGACACGCCGCGCACGCAGGACACACCTCTCTCTGCTGGCCAGCAGCGTGGTGAGCTGACGGAGCCGGGCGGGTGCTCCACTCTTGGAGCACCTTCGAGGGGGTGTCCTCCTCTCCAGGGTGGGGTCTGGGGTGGACAGCCAGGGCGGCCTCTCCGGCGCTGTCTGCCTGCATCTCGCCATCTGCTTCCTGGAGCCTCAGGCTCTGCATCAGCAGCTGGCAGGCCTCCAGGTCTGCGCTCCACACTCGCCCAAGCAGTGGGCACCTGCAGCTGAGGCAGAGGGACAGGCACAGCCGTCAGCCCAGTGATGGTGCTCTGTGCCACCAGCAGCGGCGCCCTGGTGGCAGGGGCCATCTCACACGCCACACCATTTCATGGAGACCAAACTTATCCACCAGGGGACACAGAGGGACCAAATCTACGTGTCTCTGCTCGCCGTGATATTCATGTGGGTCTGGCCGTCAAGGACACCCAGAATCCCACCAGTGCTTCCAAGAACAGCTGCATAGTACGGCATGTCCTGCCCTATGCCCACGCTGGAGTCAACACTCCTGCCAGCTCTGCCCCGCCACGGGCTTGTGCACGCACTGTTCACACCTGAAATGTCGTCCCACCATCCTACCACAGATACGGTGTCCCGCGCTGGCACATGTGGAACCTGTGCCCGGCTCCAAGGACCTGCTGTCACCTGCCCCCCACCTCAAAAACCAGTGTTCAGACTCAGTTTACGGCCGCTCACGGGCGGAGCTCCCATGCCCAGAGCTGGAATGAGGGCACTATGGGGCATGTGCCTGCAAGCCCAGAGTCTCATGGAAATGGCGAGCTCCAAGTTGAGTGAATAAGTGGAAAGAAAGAAAGGAAAATGCCTATGGCCAACTTGGGTCACCTCCCAAGTCTTCTCTTCCGACTTCCATGCATGCATGTACATGCACACACACACACACACACACATGCACATAGACACATATACACATGCACACACACACACATACATACATATATATGCATATACACACATACATGCATGCATGCACATACACACGTACACACATTTATGCACACACATACACACACAGGCACACACACCCATAAATGCACACACACACACACACACACATTCACATACATACAGGTGCGTGCACACTGAGTAAACTGTTTAAAAAGAAAAAATGAACAAGCATGCAACACTACATTTCAGATCCATGCCAAAAAATGGGCTGATTTCCACAGAGGACAGAAAACGTAAACCTGACACAGAAATGGAGAGCTTGTGCTGGAGCGACGGCTCAGCGGTTAAGGGCGCGGCCGCTTTTACAGAGGACCCGAGCTCAGTGCTCAGTGTCAGGAGGCTCACGTCTGCCTGTGCCTGCAGCTCCCAGCGCACACCCGTGCGCCCGTGCGTGCGCGCGCGCGCGCGCACACACACAGACACGCACACATATCACTAAAAAATTAATCTTCAGAAAGGAAAGAGTTGAGTTGGTGATAAAGCAGACAGAGACTGACTAGAAAGTCTCCTTCACGTGCCTCGGGGCAGAGGGACCCAGGAAAAGAGCAGCTGGGCAGCGGGCACCAACAGATGTCTCGGGAGCCAGACGAGAACCTTGAGGAGAAACTCGAATCCAGGCCCTGAGACTCTGCCTTCCAGCTACTGAATTGGCCAAAACCAGGAACCGGGGGCTGACCAAAGCCAGGGTAGCTAAGGATCCCTGTGACCCACAGCACAGGAGCTCAGAAAACACCTCCTCCTCTTCCTTTTGGTTACGCTGGATCTCATGGAGCACAGGGAAGGCCTCACCACATCATCCCTGGCAGGTTTTCACACAAAGCACACACATATGGGCCCACAGCACCAAGGGCCCCAGAGCCCTCCTTGCTGTGACACCCTTTCCCCCAATTGTCTCCTATTTTGATTTCTGATGTCACAGATTTGCTTTGCAGTGTGTGGGTGGATGGGGGTTCTGAAGGTTCGGATGCATTCCACACCAGCTTTCTCTCTGTGACCCCTGCTTTGTGGACAGACGTAAGCTCGAGGCCGTTTCTTCAGCCTGGCTGCCCATCGCCACCATACTCCATGCCATGATGGCCACGAACTCACCCCCTCAAACTGTGAGCCAACAGCATCTTCTGTAAGTTGCTTTGGTGTCTTTTCACAGCAATCAAAGCGTAGCTAAGACACTGTCACTGTGTTATTAGTTTGTTCATCGATCCTTGGTACTGATTTTTAGTCTCGATTTCATTGGCTTTTGCCCTTATCTTTATCTTTTCCTACTTCCTGTGGATTTATTATCTTACTTTTTACTGATTCTTTTCAGCTCCTGCCTCATTTTTGTTTCCCTTTCTGGATCCTTCTTCTGTTTTTGCTCTCCTTATGTTCTAATAAAGGTACTTGAGAGTCTATACTCTTGTCTGAGAAATTCTCTAGCCATATCCACATATGTACATTTAAGTCCTCAAATACTAAATACTTTAAATGTACAAAAACCTAGAAATTTATTTCACAACCCTTATGCACTTGCTACGAGACTTGCTGATCTCATATTCCCCAGGCTGGCCTGACACTAATTTCCGGAGTGTATGACTTCATCATCGACAAACTTGTGCCTTTGCTTTCCCTCTTGCTCTCCTCTTTAAGCTGAAGATGCTTGCTGGTTTGCTTTCCAGTGTGGGGCCCAGTACGGCCAAGGCTTCCCCGTGGGCCTGCACCCTCTGAGCCACGGGGAGAGCGGGGCAGGCCCCAAGTAGCTTACGGCTCCCAGGGAAAGGGGTCAATGACTTTCCACATTTTAATTCCTGGAATGTCACAATAATCAGGGAACTACAGCACATCTTCCATGTGAGTGAAAGTGGGACTAGTTCCAAGCTGTCCCTAGAACACACTTGCCAAAGTCCAGATTTCAGGGTGCAAGCACATGGCAAATCAGATATGTGGGTATCAGATGGCAGCTTTGCTTGTAGGCCGCGGGACCGTTTCCTCAGGGCTGTGTTTCTGAGACATCTGTTCTTTGCATCTATTCGTCATGGCTGGTGTGTAGTCATGGCCGGTTCTGTGGTGAGATGTCCGCTCTTCCTGCCCAAGAAAGTAACTGGGTCATTAACAAAATTTGCTTCACTGATGACTCAGAGCCGACGAGCCCTAGGAGAGCAGGGTGGTGCTTTGAGCTGGGGTGAGGTGGCTCAGAGGTGTGATCTCATAGCACGCTCCTGCGTAGAGAACTGAGAACCAGCCCTGCTATAACTGCATCAAAAGCTAGAGAAGGCCTAGGAGATCAACAGACCACGGCCTGGGAGGGCTGAGCGTGCCCACGCATAGTCAGGGATGATGAGGGCAGGGAATTGGGGAGAGCCTGCTTCTCCACTGAAGAAGTAGGAACATCCGGATGTAGTGGCTCACGGGTGTAACCCAAGTGCTCGTGAGGCTGAGGCAGACAGGGTATCGTGAGCTCGGTGCCAGGCTTGACTATGTAGTGATCTTCCAGACCAGCCTGGGCTAGAGTGAGACATGGTCTCAAAACAAGCAAACAAAACACCAAACCTCTGGAAACCCCGAATTCTAACAGAGTCTGTAGTTTCAGCCTTTAGCACCAACCCATCTACTCTTGTTTAAAGGATTCTCTGGAAGCTTTAAAATCTTTAGGTCCTTTTACAGACTCATGACGGAGGAAAACACCAGCCTGGAGAGGGGAAAGGTGACGGTTCTAAATTCTCAGTGGGCCCTGCCACATGTGTCTGTATTCTTTCTGTTCCCTGGGCAACTTCACCTCCAACAGAGAGAAGATATGACTATTATAAATGTTTACATTTTATTCATTGCTTCACTTTCTTTTTTATTTATTACAAATGTAGATGTATTTTATGTGATGGGGCGCTTTGTCTGCTTGTGTATTTGTGAGTCCAGTGAGGGCCTGGTGTCAGTAAAGGCTACACAAAGACATCCAACTCCCTTGGGGAGAGTTACAGATGTTGTGAGCTATCTGGTGGGTGCTGGGAATTGAACAGGGGTTTGTTACTGAGCAGCCAGTGCTCCTAACCCCTGAGCCGTCTCTCCAGCCTGTCACTCACACCCTAAGGAAGACACTTCACCTTACTTTGTTTTGTATGTATGTGTACACACATGTAAAGGCCAGAGGTCAGTCTTGAGTGTCTTCCTCAGTCACTATTCACCTCGCTTTTTGAGAGTCTCACTGAGTCTGGAGTTTGTGGGTTCAGCTATCGTGGCTGGCTAGAAGCCCTGGGGGTCTGCCCTGCCCTGCCCTGCCTTTCCAGCGCTGGGGTTTCCAACATGCCCCCGTATGGGTTGGTGCTGCTTACGTTCAAGGTGGAGCTTGTCGCTCTGGAAACACCCTCACAGATGCACCCAGAGGCAGACTGTCGCTCGAAGCCACTTCTCAGTCCGATGAAACTGACAATAAAGACGAAGTCCCATCTCCACAGGCGCTGGACAAGTGCTGTGAGCATGCCACATCCCACATGGCCTTAACCGTGTAGTAGTTGGCACTACATGGCAGAGGCTTCCAAACACACCTTCACCTCTGCACTCCCACATGCAAACAGCTGGGCTAGCCTTGTCTACTGATCACATGACATCGTGGGTGGAACAAGACCCAGAGCTGCCAATACAACAAGGCCACACGGCTTCCAAGAACCTTGTCCTTTTGTCCTGTGGGGTGGCTGTCCATGCTGGGTGGCTGGGCAGGCAATGGCCCTCAACCTCAGCCAACGGCGACTGTCAGCGATGGTCTGCGGTCATCCTCCTGGCGTGGGGTCAGTCTCCCCTATTATGACTGACTGTGAGCTTCCTGTGGCTGTGTCAGGGCTGAGCTCTCTGGCGCAGCTGAAGGCGTCCGGGATCTCAGAAATCTCACAGGCACAGCCAGCTTCCCTTTCTTATTACAGTGAAGCCAGCCAGCCACGGGCTGTGGATTTTCAACAACTCACAGAAACAGCTGCTCCACTTCCCTTTCTGTTGTTTCGATAAAACACTGAGCAAAAGCAACTTATGGGAAGAGAGTATTTACTTGGCTCCCACTCACTGAGGGAAGGCTGGGCAGGAACTCAAACACAGGCCTGCTTGCTGCTTCACACAGTGTTACCTCCATCCAGGGAAGTCACTCACAGCTGGGGAAACACGGAGGAACTGTTGATGATGCTTGTTTGCTGGCTCTCTTCACTTTTTTAGCTAGCTCAGGGCCAGTGGCCTGGGGAATTGTGCTGCCCGGAGTGGGCCGGGTCTCCCTACATTAATTAATCAAGTCTACCCCTCAGAAAAAACATGCCATGGCCCAATCTGATCTGGGCAATTCCTCAGTGTGGCCTCGATTCTCAGGTAAAGTGGACAGCCACAGCCACCTAAGACAACAGGCCTCTAGGTGTTTGCTTGTCCTGTTTTACCAGCGTGACGTGGGAAAGGGAACACCACAGAAATAATTGGATGGACAGTTACGAGAAGAAGGCCTTAGAGTTCTGGTTTTGGATATAAACCAATGCCTCAGGCACCCCTGTTCCACCAGCTTGTAAGAGTTGGTGCTGACTGTGAGCTGGGCAGGCTCTAGGGTCTCCAGGAGGCAATTGCTGGCCCAGGCGGCCGGGAAGTTTCGGCTTGCTCTGGACTCTTCTGCATGGCTTCTGGTGTCTTCCTCAGTTGCCATCAGAGTGGCCTTCTCGGTCAGAAAAGACACAGGTGTCTATTTCTCAGCCTTTTTACTCCCTCAAATTGCCACTCGTTAAATTCCAACCATATGTGGTCAGCAGGTAGAAGAGGACTGTGCCAGTGCAAGGACCCGAGTTTGATCCGAGAGCCACAGAGACAGGAGAGAACTGACTCTCAGAATCTGTCCCGCCCTCTACCCGGTCGCCAGGCAGTCCACTGACTCTAACTGCTGTTTTCATCATCAGTGCTGCTGCTGTTTTAAAATCTGACCAGCTCTTCAGGGCCACACATGTCTTCCCAACCCCACACCCATTGGTGCCCCTTCCTCTGAACCATGCAGCTTCTGACGGGCTCTAAACACAGCCACGCTCTGATTCTGTCGGTCAGACGCAGGCCTTCCTCGTCATATTTAAAGAGGACACCGAATTTCACACCCGTGTCTGTAAATCCCAGGAAGCATGTAGACTGGCAAGATGTCACTCATGTGGCCACTCAGGAACAACCTAATGAACCTCCCCTGGTGAGTGAGCACCGGGGAGGCTGGGAAAATATCCATCCTAATAAAGATTAACAGAGGGAAGCCTTCCCAATAAGTAATTGCTGTGGGATGGCTACATTAAAAATTAAAGTCTCAGAGAAAGGCAGCCAGTGCTTGTCTCGGGCACCACTACAATGGGTGAGTGGGTGATGGAGAGCTGGGAAAGGCAGAGTGCACAATGGAGAGATAGAAGAGAAAGGAATGCCAAGGGGTTTGTCGACTGTGGAGAAAGATGAAACTGGAGAGTCCATGGCAGTGAGGAACAGGCAGACATGAGGAGGCCATGGTGGGTCCTGGCTCGGCTGCTGCCAACAATCATAATAGGGACATCTGGGCCCAGGCTGCGGCAGGTGACCACGGCTGGGTCCATGACCCAGTGGCTTCCAGGGTCTGGTTTGATGTCCCAGGGTCACGTTACCATCAAAGGCCATGCAGCTGTGCCTGATCTGGACTGCTGCCTGAAGAGCTGTGCTGAGCTGGCCCCTCCCTCACTGGCCACTACACAGAAAAGCTGGCTCCGCCCTACTCTGCCATGGGGTGGCATTGGAGAGGGAAAGGTGCCCTCCTCTCTCATTTCCCCCCTTCCCTCTCCCCTCACTGCTTCTGGAAAGTGGGCTAGCTGGAGCACGTGAAGGGGCCGGTCCTGCAGATCCAAGCTGCAGGATCTCCACGACACAGGGCAACAGCAGGATAAGCTCCCGCTCAGTGAGGACCCAGTATGGACACTGTAGCAGAAGCCAGAGGCCTCAAACCAGGCCAGTGACACCTTGCAATGAACATTTGCAGGATGTGTGGACAAAAGGGTATACTGTGAGACACGCTGTGACACACTACCACCTTCATGATGAGATTTTTTTTTATTTTATTTTAATTTATTTTCTTTTGGGAGAGAGTTTGCAAGGGCGAAGAGTGGGTACAAAAGGACAGAGATGAGGGGCACTGGGGGCGAATGATGTGAAATTCACAAAGAATTCATAAGAAGTTTTAAAAAATAAAGTCTCAGAGTAAACATGACATGGCCATTCTAGTTGGCTTCTTGGCTGTTCAAGAAACAATCACAAACTTCAAATTATCTGTACGGTGTTGAAGTGGGAGGAACCTTCCTAAGCAACTCAAAAGGACAAAACTGAAATATCTAGGTAAGTGTGAAATATATGTGTGATTGCATATGTTGAAGTATAGGGCGTTGGGTCCTCCGTAGGCACCAGATCTCCTGTACCATAGACGGTGTGGGCTGCGCCCTCACACGGCGGGAGACGCTAAGGCCGCCGTCATGTGATGCTCGTGTTGACCATCCCTGAGGAGGACACACCCTGACGACCGCTGCACTGGGCGTTAAGGATCGGTATTTTAATTAAAACAGGGCATAGATATCCAGACCACAGCAGACTATTTAAGAGTTCTGCAATCTGAAGGAGAAGGAGCAAGAGAAAGAGGAGGTGGACGAGGGAGAAGAAGAAGAGGAAAGGAAGAGGAAAAGAGAAAGCAGCAGAAGAAGAAAGAGACAGGAAGACATGGGAGAGGGTGGATTTGTGCACAGATCATTTTATAAGGTCACTTGGGAAAGGCTGTCAAAGTCCTGTTTCCTGGCCTGTATAGTTCAGGGTGGCGGTGTGTGACGTGAGTGTTGGCGCTCTGTGGTGCAAAGTCTGACAGTGACAGGTTGTGGGTCGACGGCCACGTGTTCTAACGTCGGCAAGGTCCAAACACAGAGGCCTCAGCTGGCACAGGCGCCAACATGCACACACCTGACACCAAAGGGGCTCAGGCGGGTACACCTGGAACGCTCCCAAGAACCCCCCAGTGTTTCAGACAGGCTCATTACTAATGCTGAAGACCTGGGAAATCTGCTCAGGCGCAGAGCCTTCTACCCAGGCCAGGC